GTGCACTCACTCTGAACGAAAATCCGTTCATAGATCCTTGGAGTACTCAATGCTTCTACCCCTCTCCATCATTAAGGAGCGGTCCCCATTGACATAAGAGCCCTCTCTGCATAGTTACAGGTATACCTTCGGTACTTAGCTTTGCATTATCTAGACTCTGAACTGACGGAATAAACGTAGTTCTTCCGTCCAAATAGCAAGAACCATGTTCAACTGTTTTAGCATCAATTGCTCATAAATATCGACAGTTTCTTTCAAAACGAGTGAATTACTTGGAATGAATGGTAACAATCTGGATTTGGAAACGGATCCTGCGGACGGGGAGATTTACGTTCCACTATTGAAAGTTGGTGCAGCGATGGCGTTTCCATCTCTTGGTTGGACGACGTTAATTATTAGATTGTCTCCAATAGACCCCAACGCAACGGCGATTTGTAAAGGCACGTGACAACGACCCAAGTATGTGTGCGTTGCAATGCTTTATCAGTGCTTTATTATTGTGACTATAAATCTGTCGAGCGACATCGACGGAAGACGTGTAAACGACAGAGGAAACAATAATCAAAGGAACAAACGCGACCGTTTCGCTGCTGTGAGGCTGGTATATCAGAACCGCTCTTGCTACGGAAACCACACATTCGCATTCTAGGGAAACGTAGAAAAAAGCGCATCGGCGATTGAGGTGGATGAAAGAGCCGACGATGAAGATACGAGAGGGATATCATCATCACAACGGAATGACATTGACAATAAATGATAAATTTACCTTAGAGGCGTATAAGACTGTGATAACTCGATACATCATAAATATTAAAAGCCCTAAGACTCCATAATTTGGATGGCCATCATTGATGCAGCTTGAGACTAGGTAACGGGGCGATGAGAAGGGAGGAACGAAATTCTCCCTACTACGCGTATTTAGGCAGCTACCCTTAGTCTCATGACTAATCTGTACATAGACCTCAAAATCACTGATTTTTGCCCTTTCAACCAGGACAGAAATGATGTGCCAAATTCAATTTGACCTGTTTTTTCCTTTCTGCGGATGAGGTCTAGCGGAGCAAAATTTGAAAAACTTCACCGGACTTTTGATCAAGCCTCCAGAGCTCAGAGTTTTCCCCGGATTATACCGTCCGTCCCAGTCTGATCTCAGATTAATATTTTGTTACCGAATTACTGCTTCCCGCCTCAAAAATGTTTTTGACCAACTATAAATGGAAAATCATTCTAAAGAAAAAGAATATTGAAATATAAATGGTATGTACCGCTCTAAGCCCTGCAAAAAATTGGTGGTTGCGGGGAAGGAGCCACTTGTGGCTCATCCAGATACAGACAATGAGAGACTTGATGAATCAGTAATGGTTCGAGGGGTCCGAGGAGAATAAAGAGGATGGAAATGGTGAAGAGGCCGGTGGGGGAGATAATGCAAACTGTGTAGAAAAGACTTACCCGCTCCCGTCTGAAAACTGATTAGAAAAAAACCTGAAAAGCTTTTAGTGGGAGCGTTTTAGGCGGAAAACCCACCGAACTTGGAACTTTAGGGGGGGTGGCTCCGACTGGAAATTCTGCTGTTTGTTGACATGTAACATCTTCATGTAATATCATCTAGTGCTGCGTTGCGTACTTTACAAAGAGTTCACATCACCTACTTGAAGAACTCACTAAACTAACAATTTAGCTAACAGTGGTTTCAATTGAAGTCCCTGGAATTGCCACGAGACCCAACACCGTGACCTTGGCGCAAAGACCCGTACATATATATATATCACTCCGGGACACCAGCACATGCATCTCATAATTTTACCGCCCCTCACTATAAGCATTCGGAAATCAGGCTTAAAAATAAGTTCTGTTCAACTTCGTTACACTCTCTGATGTCACACCCAGTTATTTTTCTGGAAAAGTTATAGAGCGGCGTGGTAGCCCCTTTGACGTATGACAGTGGCGGACTCGTCAGTTCATTTGCATAACTCCCGTTTATGGTCGGATATGTTTAGGAACCTCTTTGCCCCCTTAGTAAACATAAACGCGATTTATCTTCACGTTGTCGTGCCAAAACCTACAGGAAAAGAAGACTCGTAATCAATCAGCTCATTTTCCAATTACATCTATCAGCTGGGTCTTGGGAATGGCTGCCGGGAATGCAAGGCGCTTAAGTCGGTTATGGGTCTTCTGCTCATATGCATAGGCATAGCTGATGAGCTTGAATTCCGAGAATGCCGTTCCCATGAACGAGATTCCGAATGGAACCCCGGGTGCCTTGGAAATGGTAGGTCTTGCCATGGTCGGCACGACACCATCAGGCTGGAAACCGAGCGGTACTTGTGAGAAGGTGTCGTTAGTCAAATAATTAGAAAATGTAATGGCTAGAGGTGTTACCTGTGACAACGGGGTATCCCGCGATCGCTGCTGGACCCGCAGTAAAGCCTGGGAAACCAGCTTGTAAGTGATTATCGAGTGGAGTTGATACTTGACCGACCATCTGTTGGAAGTAGAATAGCATCCAAATTAAATTTCTTCAGCGTGGCGTCGATCCCGTTTGTGGCACCAAGCTCTTTGTCGAATGCCAATGCAGTGAAGTACGCATCGTTGAGTGTGGTATTTTCGGATGCGATAAATCTGGTGGCATTATCAGCTCCTATTATCGATAACATGAAAAACACCATGCGTACTGAGATTGAGAGGTGTAGAAGGGGGGGATTAGTTCCTCGTCAGCGTGAGCAGTGTTAAAAGCTATAAGATCAGCGAGGTTCGTTACACCCGTGGGTACCTCGAGCAGACCAGCAATGTAGTTGTTTACATCCGCCTAGAATACGAGCTTTATAAACACAAAAGTACGGGAATAACTGGATGGCGGCACACCTTGAAATCAGCACTAAGGACGATGCTAGAATTGTGCGACGCGCGAAGCTCAACCGCATTCGGGAACTCGGCCGGATCGACGATGATAGCACCGAGGCTTTTGATGATCTCAACCGACGCATTGAATGCAGCGGTGATGTTCGCATCTGAACTGCCAAATAAACGGGGAATTCCAAGTCGGACTCCCTTCAGAGCATTCGGTTTAAGAGCCTTTGTGTAGTCCGGGACGGGAGACGGCTGAAGCAACGAAAAGTTATCGAGTTTATCCGGACCCGCGATCACTGAAAGGATGGCTGCTGCATCGGCGACACTCCTGCACATTGGACCGACCGTATCTTGGTTTATGGAAATAGGAATAACTAGATCACATGAGATTTATTTATTTTAGAACGATTAACAAGACACCAGCGTACCACCGGCCCTCGAGGTTAGGCCTACTGTGGGCTTGATGCCAACGAGATTGTTTTTGCTGCTTGGAGACAGAATACTTCCAGATGTTTCACTGCCAAGAGCACCTGCATTAGAATATCTAAATGAGATTTCTGAACACTTCCGAATACGATGTGCAACCTCACCAGCCGCAAGACCAATCGCAGAAGAAATGCCGCTTCCTGAGCTGGAGCCGGAGGGATCTGCTTGAGGAAAGTATGGGTTGAGGGCTTGGCCGCCACGTCCCGAAAAGCCTGAAGGAACACTTCCTCGGAAGTTTGCCCATTCGGATAGTGACGCTTTTGCGAGAATGATCTGAATTTTTTTTTTTTCAATTATTCTGATCCTTTATCAACGGAAAAAAAATCCTCACCGCGCCAGAAGCACGGAGCTTTGCGGCAACCATGGCGTCACGAGGAACAACTGACCCGAGTAAAGCAAAACTACCTGAGAGAAGGGTTAGTCGTGACAACATTTCTGAGCGGATATTACACACCCGCGGTTGTGTTCATTCCTGCATTGGGGAGATCAGCGTCAGTCCAATTTCCTTTGAAGTAACCACTCACCTTCTGAGTGCAAAGTAGCAATATTATCTTTCACAATGATAGGTATTCCATGAAGTAGTCCCCTAGATCTCTTGGAGGTTTTGCGTTCGAGATCGAGAGCTTCCGCTTGCAGCAAAGCCGTCGGATTGGTCTCAATAACAGCATGAAGACTAGCACCCTGGTGATTGACTTCCTCAATTCTCGCAAAGTAGGCCTGATTATTTGTCTCAGTTTCCATGATAATTCGGTGTTAGAGGCAACGATCTAACCTTTACGAGGTCGACACTGGTGAAATCGCCGCTTTCGAGGCCATTTTGGAGCTCTACTATGGAAGCCTCGTAAAGATCTGGAAGGGTCTTGGTTTTTGCCTCTGCGCATGGTGTGATGAGACCGAGGCCTGGAATAAGACAGGGGACAAGTAAACCAGTCAGGAACTTGAAAAAGGCGGGCATCTTGGTTGTCTGCCGCAGACTAAGCAATAAGGGCACATTTTATAGTCCTCGGGCCACATGATAAGAAGGCTTGGAAGATATTCCAGCCTATATTTGGTGTTACGTCATTTTTCCACATTGCAACCAGTATGAAAAGTTTCAACCGGAGAGCCCATTATGAAAGAGATTTCGTGAGTTGCAGCCAGTTCACAACCATATCATCAGAACACCAAAAGAAAATAAGCACCGTCTGGTGTACTTCAATATAATGCCAAGACATGCATACGGCCTTGAGAAGCACTGTGGCAGGTTGGACTCGCTCAGGGACATATCTGGGAGGTGTGAGAATAAGGATTGGCTTGAACCAATATGAAGCGGACCATATGTTCGCGTCGGGAGGGATTGGACATTCGATATGTTTACATGATGGTAAAGTACAGCGATCCCCTCGAATGCAAGAGGTACGCAAGAATTAAATTTTACACATGGGGTTAGTCTCTGAATTTAAGACGACTCTGACCCCCAAAAAGAGAAATTTTGTATTAGTAAGTTTCCAAATTAGTAAGCCTACACTTTGTAGTAACAGTCCAGAAATCATGATTGGCAAATGATTCACTGAGACTTTCAGGTTCAGAGGTTCAAAAACTGACTCTTAACTTAATGTGTTTTTGCTGTCCTCTCAATGTAAGTTCAAGTCTCAAAAACCAAGAAAATAAAAAAATGTAAAAACATTAGCCTCACGCGGGGGTCGAACCCGCAGCCTTAAGATTGCTTACCCGGTCAGGTGGACTGTAAGAGTCTTACGCTCTACCGATTGAGCTAGCAAGGCGCCGAGTGTCAAGGTTCATATATTAAATACGACCACCAAATGCCACAAGAAAATGATTATTTAGTTTTCTCATGGTGCTTCGTTTATTAATAATTAGTAGCAAGGCTGACCGCTACCCACCACCACCGCAGCGCAATGGCGGCCCTCTCGTCCTCACTAGGCCTCTCATCCTCATTGCCATCCATAGCGAATGTCCATTCTTTAATGACGCTCTCCGAGTACGCTCACACACTCGACTCTCTTCCCCTCGATCTATCACGCCAGTTTGCAGACCTTCGCGAGCTCGATGCCGTGCTCAGCGCGTCAACCCACAGCGTCACCCAGAAAATATACGAACTTATCGACCTCGTCGAGAGCCCGCACTCGACGAAGGAGCAGCGGCTTTCGAAGCTCGTTCAGATCGGGGAGGAGGCGCAGCGGCTGAAGCTCGGCGGCGAAGACAAGATCAAGGTGGCAAGCCAGGCCGCAGACAACGTACGTGATGTGCACGCTGCCGCCGCTCAGGGCCTTCTCACCCCCCCCATCCGCAGCTGATGGCCCACAAGAGCCACATGAACACCCTGTTGACCACCATCGCCCAGTACGACACGTCCTTCACGCCAGCACATCTCTATCTCCGCACAACATATCCCCATATCCCACCCCGCCCACCACAGGACATCATCCCACTGGAAAACGGCCGGCGCCGCCGGGCTGCAGCGAATGCGGGTCGAGGTCAGCTGGGGGGCATGCTGGCCGTGGAGGCGCTGAGCCCCGTCAAGTCGCGCAAGCGCGTGCGGGAGGAGGAGGAAAGCGCACCGACGCCGCGAAAGGAGCGCGAACCGACCGCTGCAGCATCGCACCGCCGCGGCGGCGCGTCCGCTGCGAAAAGCCGCAAGTCAGCTTCTTAACTGTTCCGTGGGGTGCACGCGCGCTGACGGTTTCTCACTCTTTGCAGGGCAGAGCAGCAGACGCTTGTACATGTACATGCACACCGTGCGGGATCGCCATCTGCCGATTCAGTGCTGTCTGTCACATCCCATCCGGTCAACCACCCGTCCACTGCCCGTGTACCTGCTGCGGCTGCAGTACCGCCTCGCACCACCGTCGTTCAACAAGACGTGGCTCCTGCACCCGAGGAAGTAGAGCAAGATGGCGGTGATGAACAAGACGGCGGACGCTACTGCTATTGCCACGGGCACAGCTACGGAGAGATGGTGGGATGCGATGACGAACAATGCGCGTTCGAATGGGTACCGTTTATTCCAGTTATGCATATCTCTATCCTTTTACTCACCCTTGCTCTCAGTTCCACCTAGCCTGCATTGGGCTAACAAATGCTCCCAAGGCGGGAACATGGTACTGCGATGACTGCAAAGCCAAACGCGCGGGCAACAAGAAAGGTCGCAACGGTAAACGGCGAGCGGGTGGGGCAGCGGCCTCGGCAGGTGCGAAATCTGGCCGCGGGCGCGCCTGAAGGTGTAGCAGTGCCATGTACCACTACATACTGTAATAATTCCCGCGTAATTAATTAATGATAATAACTGTGCCAGTACAATAACAACTAAAAAGTAAACAAGCCCCTGGTAACAAGTTGGATATGTAAAGAACCCATGTGAGATGATCGTAAAACTATTCATCTATTACAATCACGTCGGATGAGGAGGTGCTGCTCCCACTGGCACCACCACTAGTGCTAGCCCCAGACCGTGTTCGCTTTCTCCTACCCTCCTCCTGTTCAGCAGCTCGTTCCCGCTTCCGGCGGGATGGTCGTTCAGGTGAATCATCAATAATAATAGGTTCGTCGCCAGACGAAGTGTGAGGGTGTTTGGAAGACGAGGTTGAGGCTGATGTCGTCGAGTTCACTGAGGGAGGGAGGGCGTAGAGCTTGGTCCAGCGTGCGGCAGTCTTGTTGTGCTGTGTCCGATCCCGCACAAACTCGTTTGCAATTTGGGGAACTGTCTCGAATTAAGACCGATAGCAGGTTGTCTAATAGCTGAACTCACCCAGGGGATCTTCTGCAATGGGGATTATTCGTAAAGAACGATATGACATCAAAACACAGAATTGGAGTTGGAGTTACTCACTAGGGTTTGGGTCGGTTAATAGTGAAGATAGCGACAGTAGAACCTTGTATAGCGAAAGCGCAGGCGACCAGTTATTCTTCAATAAATCGATACAAACGCTGCCTCTGACAAGGCGCTGTCAGGCTACGTATACAGCGCTTATGTGGCAAGGTTCCCATACCGGTCAGATATGTTCATATGATAAATCCTACACGCCCCAGCAACTCAGCCAATATTCCAAAACAAGAAAAGAAGAATGGTAAATCCGCCAACCTTGTAGTGAACACAACCCGTGGTGCCGAAAAGCTGAAACAACGCTCCCCTAAGCGGCAATGCTTTGCCAGCAGCTGGCACCTCACTCACGGATAATCCCCAGGGAGCGTAAGATCCAACCAAAACAGACCACCCTCGTAGCACGACCCTTCTGGGCCCGGGATAGACCCACGCCAATTGAAGAGCGACTCTGTGGGAGCCAATGTCATCCCACCCATGTCCTCCTTCTTCAGGTCAGAAATCTCGCGGTGAATACGCTTGATGGTCATCTTACGGATGGTATTTAGACGTTAAACATCCTCGTCCATGAGAAAGGAGACTTACGGGGGAGATTGAGGACGGAGGAGGCATGGTTGCTGTGGGGTAGTTGTGGCGCAATAGGGTAGGAAGAGGAAAAGGAGATACAGCACGCGGCACGTGACGGGGACGCGTCTTTGTTCGGATTGTTTGCATTTCTGGACGTTTCGCATAGATTTGCTCTGGAAATGCGGTGTTTGAGGCAGTGTTTAATCTGCAGCCATAAGCCTTTTCCGCTTGGAAATGCTTCTAATTAGTTGTAGTTTGGTAGCTGTAGGAACTTGAACCATACAGGGATATGAGTAAGCGGTTACTAGGTATATGAGGCACTGAGACAAACGGAAAGTTATTTGGTCTAGGAACAGCACGACGAAAACTTCAACAATGGGGGGACTACAACTTAGTGTGAATAAGTAGAGTCTTAATCTCGCACTTGTTTGATTTAATGGGCAATAAGCATGATAAGGAGACATCAAGCACCTTCTAAGTCAATCTTGGTACTGAACAATAATCATCTTGTTACTAAGCAACTGTACAGTACTACAAAAAGTGTAAAATATCAGCACAATCAATTGTGTCTGAAAGTGAATTATAATCCGAAAGGCGCCTAATGAGCTTGGCCAAATCCTTGGATCTGGAAACCAAATATTTTTGTTTCGTTTGATTTCATGCCGGAAGCTGGAATTAGAGAGTATTTGCAACTAATATTCACGGGAAGAAGCAAATACTCTCTATTAATATGTTAGATTTTTGGGTAAAGCGAGCAGCCGGAGTCGTATAGTGACCGGGGTCATTATTACCCACATTCATTACCGCTCTTGTTCTGAGTATGTTACGCATAAGACCTCTATGGGAAGTTTTCTGTCAGTGCTTCACATCTTTGGCAGCACCGAGATTAAGCTGGGCAGTCCTTCTGATTTCTGCGAGAAAACGCGATGCTCGTGATATCTTCTGCCAGTCCGAATTACCTCTGTCGAACCTTCACCTTCACACCAACTCGATATAAAAGGACTGAGCTGTGAAAACCTGTGTCAAAGGGAAACAAATACATAGATACATAAGTGAAATAAATAAAGTTCACCACCTGGGCGTTCCACATTGCTGCAAATCTGACTGCCGAGTCAAACCAAGCGCCTGAAACTCGCTCCTCTTGTGACGTTGACAGTCTTCCTTCAGTTTCCTATTGGACTATACTAATAAAATGAAACACATGTGATGGTGTGTTCTTCATGTCCATTTGATTCACACCATTCAATTTGCTGATATATATTAATTGTTTAAACTTTACTCTAATATTATAGGATTAGTAGCTTTCCACCCAGAATGCGCGGCTGCCAATATATGCTGGCTACCGGCATAAAAATGATGTGTGGAAGTTGTCCTTGGTATACACCCTGCCAATCACATGTTATAACCTTACCAGATCTACATAGCATCGGTTAGCAGGGGGGACATAGGATTTACAAATCACTCGGATCTGGCTCTTTTCAGCGAAACCAGTCGATCTCCGGTGTCACTCGATACCAGGGTTGAAAATTTATGAGATGATCGCAGCAACCGAGATGTACGCCGTATTTACGGATGCGTCGCTAGCTGTAAACTTGGGCACAAGTGGACATTGCTGAAATGCCTCTACGTAGGTGGACGGTATTAGGTGGACTCTCCGGAACGCCTTACGATGTTATCGAGTGCAGCGGAGGGATTCCGGTATATTCCCAACCCTAGGTCCAAACCCGATTGGTGTAGCTACCCCTAACCCGGTCTAGCCAGCCAATAGCATAGTATGAAAGGAAAAATGTAGCCAGCCATAATAATATTTGACAAAGACTAGCCTATTACCAGTACTCCGCTGTGCTAACCAATGCTACGATTGCCTAGAAACTCAATCTATTTCAGTCCCTCCCGAATGATCTCAGCTGGAGATCACCGAATCTTCCACTTGAGCCATTGAGCCTACATTTACAAACATGTCAGCATTTCAATTTGCAATATATATTGCTCACTCAATGCCATAAATTTTGCAAGCCCGTTTTCACAGCATGGGCATGTATATAATTATGCGCACCCTCCTTTAGATTTTTCTTCACCCAACACTCATGTCGAACAGTACTTTACCTCTTTTCGAACCTGGTGTTCTAGTCACTATTGTTTCATTCAACCACACTGCAAACCACACTGCAGGTATACCAGGCTTCAAAGAGGCACAACACACTACTTACTACTCTTCAAGTGATGGCTGCAACCTTGATTTCCTACGACTGGATCATAACATTAGATAAGGAGGTGGGTAACAATAACCACAACCTTTGCCCATGAATTTCACCTTCTCACACGCAATACAAGAGTGAACACATTTGGAGGTATTTAATGATCGTTGCCAGTAGT